AAGTGGAAGCAGTGGTACTAGAAAATTTTGAATGTAATCCAGGTGACCTCAAATTTTGCAATCATGGCAAATGCTTTTGGTTTAGAAGGCACCGTCCTATGCAAGCGTCAACATAGGTTCCCTTGACACTGATTGTGACTTCCTAACTCAAAGAATTCTAGGCTACCTTAAAGTTTGCAATCATGGCAGCATTTGCGTTAGAAGGCATAAAGTGTCAACGTATGTTCTCTTGACACTGATTGTGACTTCCTAATTCAATGTAATCCAGGCAAACTCAAATTTTGTGATCATAGCAAATGCATTTGCGTTAGAAGGCACCGTCCTCTTAAAAATGTCAACGTACGTATGTTCTCATGACACCGATTATGACTTTCTAATTCAATGTAATCTAGGCAATCTCAAAATTTGCGATCATAGCGAATGCGAATGCGTTAGTGGCCAAACCACCCCTCCTCCTGCCAGTGCATGAGGATCATGGCAAATGCACCAGCGTAAGATGCGTCTGGCTTCCTGGGTGTTGGTTAAAGAAATTATATGTTCATATTAAAATTAAAGCTTTAACTAGCTGGTCGTAACAGTAATTCTGTTGGCCTCTACAGTTTTTCATATCTAATGAATAAATGTATACGCAATTACGCATTTTATAATTGTATTGTGATTTTGGGTTTTGATAGTTTTTATTGGCAGGCATATTTGATCAAAAGATTAAAATACGAAAAATAAAAATGTATCAAATGAAGAAACAATTAAAAATGAATAAATCAGGAATTGAGAAGGAAAAAAAAGGCTTCAAGTTGTGTTTTGTGATTTGGTGGATGTCGGCGTTTTGGCGGTGGGGGGATTGCGTCGGGGTGGTTTAATTTGGTGTAATTCACACAGTTTGCTGTATATGTTTAAATAGAAAATACTCCATATAAAAGTCTATGGTAGCTGATATGTCATGTCTTAAGCAGTTGAATTTTTATAGAAGCATTTCAACTTGGATTAAAAAAATCAACACGACTATTAGGTTAAGTCTACTATTATTCCTTCTCCACTTTTATTTTTTAGCATTTAAATATGTGCTTAGAAATTAAATATTAAGTTAAGTTCAGCATTACCTTTTCTCCACTTTTACTTTTTATACTTATTTTACATTTTTCAATATTATAGAAAAAAAAATCGTCTAATTTCTACCTCTTTTTATTTTTTTATTTTTTATTTTTGAATATTTGAAAATTAGTTTATTTTAATTTACCTAATATCTTATAACAAAACAACCTGACAAATATTTTCACAAGAAATGACGCAAAATAAGCCCTTACCTACAGATTTCATCCAGTTTGTTCATGGCATGGCTTTGTCATATCCATATATACGGTATGAAAATGTGACCCAAAAAATTTGAAGGTAGAACGATTGTAAATTTGAAACAATTGAGATATGAAATAACTCACAGACATACTCAAACTTAGGGGAAAAAGAAGTTGAGGATATTAATGTAGAAAATTTAGTGTTAGAAACCTAGCACACAAACATGACTCGTGGGGAAATTCTAAACAAATGAAATGAGCTTTTGCTTGGTACGTAACCAAGTCACTCTTTTGTCATAAAATATGGCCAGACTCGGTATATAATCTGTAATTTATAGAACAAATACAAAGTTACGTTTTCAAGGAAAAAAATTCGGATGGTAGACTAATTGTCATAAAATCTGGCCAATAAATCTGCAATTTATAGAAGAAATATAATAATATCAGAGCAAAATAAAGAAGAAGAAGAAATAAAAAGATATATTTCGAAGGAAAGTAATCCGAGTAGGGAACAAAGTAATAGCCCACAATCCATCTCACGTCCAAAAATGGGCAAATGGGGTCATATCACACAGTATAAATATAGAGGGAGTCAAGTTCAGTAGCTCACATCAGTGACATCAACAGCCACACCTTCTAGTCTTATCACATAAAACTATGGCCGCCTCTCTCGGTATCGGTTTTGCCTCCCTTTGCAGTATTGCAATTTGTAAGTCCCTCCATTACTTACTAAACTGATTACATGCACATGATTAGTTCCTTATTAATCTATATTCCAACTATTTAATATTTGCGTTATCGATTCTTATCTTTAGGTGTATCAGTATTGTTAGGATCAACTGCAGAAGTGGAAGCAGCAAAAGCTGAGGAGGCCAGCACTAACGTATGCTCTTGAGACATTGATTGTGACTTCCTAATCAAATTTAATACAGGTGGTCTAAAACTTTGTGATCATGACAAATGTGCTTGTGTTGGAGGGCATCGTCCTCATGCTAACTAGGCTCCTAACTCTGCAGTGGCATTAGAAAAGGCCAGCGCCAACGTATGCTCTGGTGATATTGATTGCGACTTCCTAATCAAATGTAATCAAGGCGGTCTCAAACTTAGCGATCATGGCAAATGTGTTTGCCTTGGAGGGCAACGTCCTAATGCTGACCAGGCTCTTAACATGACAGTGGCATTAGAGGAGGCTGGTGCCAATGTATGCACTCATGATATTGATTGCGACTTCCAACTTTGTGAACATGGAAAATGTGTTTGCATTGAAGGGCAACGTCCTCATGCTGACAAAGGCTCCTAACTCGGTAGTGGCATTAGAAGAGGCCGGTGCCAACTTATGCTCTCGTGATATTGATTGCGACTTCCTAATCAAATGTAATCCAGGTGGTCTCAAACTTTGCGATCATGGCAAATGTGTTTGCGTTGGAGGGCACCATCCTCATGCTGACAAGGCTCCTAACTCGGCAATGGCATTAGAAGAGGCCGGCGCAAACGTATGCTCTCGTGACATTAATTGCGACTTCTTAATCAAATGTAATCCAGGCGGTCTTAAACTTTACGATCATGGCAAATGTGTTTGCATTGGAGGGCATCGTCCTCATGCTAATAACCAGGCTCCTAACTCTGTAGTGGTATTAGAATAGGCTGGCCCCAATGTATGCTCTTGTGACATTGATTGCAACTTCCTAATCAAATGTAATCGAAGCTGTCTCAAACTTTGCGATCATGGCAAATGTGTTTGCGTTGGAGGGCATTGTCCTCATGTTAACCATGCTCCTAACTCTGTAGTGGCATTAGAAGAGGCTGGCCCCAACGTATGTTCTCGTGATATTGATTGCGACTTCCTAATTAAATGTAATCCAAGCGGTCTCAAACTTTGCGATCATGGCAAATGTGTTAGTGTTAGAAGGCAACGTCCTCATGCTAACAGGGCTCCTAACTCAGCAATGGCAGTAGAAGAGGCTAGTGCCAAAGTATGTTCTCGTGACATTGATTGCGACTTCCTAATTAAATGTAATCTAGTGGCCTCAAACTTTGTGATCATGGCAAATGCATGTGTTGGTGGCAAAACCAGCCCTCCTGCCAGTGCATGAGGATGCAACGCCGTTTTCTTTTGTGTCCAATTAAAACTTAAGTATCACCTACCTAACAATAATGTTGTTGGCCACCCTTCTCTACACTTTTTCTTATCCAATGAATAAATCCATACGCATCTCATAGTCGATTTTTCGTTTGATATTTTTTATTGGCTGGCATTATGTTGATCAAAGAAAATTAAATTAGCTTAACAATTAGGTTTCGAATTTAGAAATTAACATATCAAACATGGTCATAATATTTGATCGGACATTTCAGTTTGGGTGAGAGTCACGACAAGAGAAATTCACTTGGACTCGAATGCCGTCATTGGGAAGGGGGAGGGGGATTGGGTCGGGTTGAGCTCATTTACGGACGTTCATCGACAGATGTGCCATGTCTTGAGCGGTTAGGTTGTGATATTAGTCTAAATATAGTGGTGTATGGAAACACAACTTCAAAACGTAGAAAATTGGAATTCAATAGGGCAAATTTGCATGTATAAGATTTAAAAGTTGTGCATGAGGTAGTACCCACTTTTGATGAAAAAACTTACTTATTCCAATATGATATCCTTGATATTCTCGCATATTACGTATGAGTGTACTAGACATTGCATGCAAACAGAAATTTTTCTTAATTACCTAAAAAAAAAATGTGGGAAAACTGAATTAGAAAGTTGATATCAAGGAAGAATTTTTTAAGAGAAAATAACTGAAAGAGATGTTCACCAAAAATACATATGAAATTGAAAGAGATGTTGGTATTATATACCTACATGGATGGCAGAATCCGAAAATGTTGAAGTTGTACAAACAAGGTCTTTGTCGTCCACCTTCTATAAATTGCCCAAGTCTAATCAAACAACGTGCCAAATACTTTCACTAGAAAATGACACAAAATTGACCCCTTTCTTTTCATCCCTTTCCTTCATGCTACATATCTTTGTATCCATTATTATCCATGATAGAGAGTATTATTTTTTAGCATTGATTGTGATTTCGTATGTAGCTTAGGCTCTTTAATCTTTCAAAATCATATTATTCTTATTATTATTTTTTCAAAATCGTATTCTGTTTTAATTTTATAAAGAGTAGGATTAATCGAGCTAGGCTGTAATATTGAGGTTACACCATCTTGACTAAGTAGTTTAACCTGCGTAATATTAAAGAGAGTTAATTACAAAGTACACTCTGGAAGTTTAATGTCACTTTCACAAAACGCACAGTTTTTCAATTTTCTCATATTAATATTTACAACATCAAGTTGTTAACAGTTCAAATTGTTTTAGTCCTCCGATCTTAATTAAACACAAAAAAATGACTTGAAATGTTAAACCTTTAATACATGGATTAGTAATGTGAAAAAATTGAATCACCCCATCTCAATGTTATTGTAAACTTTGTCAATGTATTTTGTAATTAACTTTTTTGTTAATTAGCTTTAAACTTCATTTGTACATCCCACATAACCCTTATTTATTTATATTTTTAAATATTTTTCAATTCAATTGATCTGACAATATAAAATTTAAAGAAATATGTGAAAATAAAAGCGATGTGTGGATAACTTACATCAAGTGCTTGAATACAACCGAAGGCGAAAAACAACCTCCATCTCAGGTTACTGGGCAGGCAGCAGACTAAAACTTCCCTCTCTTTTCACACCACCCCCCACTAAACCACACGCAGACACAGACACACACACTCTCTCTCTCTCTCTCTCTCTCTCTCTTCCCCTTTCTTGATTTTGATGCGCAGACTCTTCCCTCCAAACCCAATCAAAACCCCAACTCTCTTCAACTCCCTCCGTCTGCGATTCAACTCGCTCCGATCCCACTGTGCCAACTCAATGGCCTTACCTCCGCCGAAGTCAGCCATGGCTTCCGCCGTCGTCGACATCGAGGCGGGTCTCGCCCGCCGCTTCTGGATCAAGTTCAACCGAGAATCGATTTTCGCTATGTACACTCCCTTCTCGCTCTGTTTGGCTTCTGGGAACCTCAAGATTGAAACTTTCCGCAATTATGTTGCCCAAGATGTTCACTTTCTCAAGGCCTTCGCTCACGCGTTAGTTGTTATTGCTTTCTTTAATTTCACTTATTGTTTCTGTGCGAATTTGTTATGTATTTTTCATTTGGGGTTTTGGGGACTGTTTGGTTGCTGGGAAAATGTTGCGATTGAATCTGAATCCGAATCTGAATCTGGGTTTGTTTAATATTTCAATGACCCTTTAAGTGTTTAAGCAATAAAGATCGATTGTAAGTGTGCCAAGAAAGTTTAGCTCGGAGCATTCATTGTAATTCTTTGATTTTCTTTTTTGTTAATTTGGAAATATTTACTTCTTTTTTTTGAGTTTTTATAAGTTAGATTGCAATTTTAGGTAGAAAATTTCATGAATTGCTTGAAATTGCAATTTACGGTTTTACTCCTAACACAAATGGTAAAGGTTTGGTAGAAGATTTCATTGTTGTGGTCTTCGTGGTGACGGGAAAATATGGGAAAAGAAAGGAAACTAGATTGTTAGTGTGGAGTTTTAATCAATAGGAGGAAAAATGTATGGTTTGATGAAAGCTCAGTATCGATTATACTTTTTCCAGGAGATGGAGTTCTTATGTTTCATTTTACGGATTTTAGCTAAAAATCAAGAATGGTATTCTTTTTGTTTATCTGTTATTGACTTCTTGCTCTGGTTGGTTGCTGAGGAAACATAGGAAGCGAAAGAACAAAACTTAAATCTTAGCTTTTGAATGGCTATAATGGAGAGAATTATCCTGAAATTTTGTTTAGCATAATTTAATTGATTGACTAATTTGGGTGATTCAATAGTTCTTTAGTAATAGGAGCAACTAAAATCATATTTGATTTCAATTTTTACTTTCATTCCTTTCTTTTTTTTCAGTCTTCTCAGCAACCAAATGGAGGGTTAGGTATTTTGGAAATATTTATGTGCATTGGATTAGGTAAAAATTTTGTTTTTTTGTTTACGCTGAAATCCAAAATAATATAGAAGATAAGAAAATTTTTGTTTTAGGTTTCTTCAGAACTGGTGGAGTTGGATTTGTATATGTTGTTTTGTGCGATTTATTTGTTTGATCTTCTTTTATGTATGAATATTTAGGTATGAATTGGCAGAAGATTGTGCAGACGATGATGATGCAAAGCCTGTGATTTCTGAGTTGAGGAAGGCAGTTCGGCAGGAGCTGAAAATGCATGATTCGTTTGTGAAGGTACGATGGAGGGTTATTTTATCTATGACACGGGAGGAGACATGTAAATTATAAGTGATCTGCAATCATCCAATTGAGTATTTTGAATGCAAATGTTGGCAGAGTTACTTCTTGCATTGTCTAAAATAAAGAGAGCCATGCAGGGATGGGGTTTACAGGGTGCTAAAGAGACCCCTATCAACTCTGCTGCCGTGAAGTACACAGATTTCTTATTGGCAACAGCCTCTGGAAAAGTTGAAGGAGTCAAGGGTCCTGGTAAACTTGCAACTCCATTTGAAAGAACCAAAGTTGCTGCTTACACCCTTGGCGCTATGACTCCTTGCATGAGACTGTATGCCTTTCTTGGTAAAGAGTTCAAGGCCCTTCTGGATCCCAACGAAGGCAGTCACCCGTACTTGAAGTGGATTGACAATTATTCTTCTGAAAGTTTTCAGGTTCGTCATATCACCTTGTTTTCTTCTGGTCAGTCTGAATTTACTCTCCTGATTCTGATCTGAAAGGTTGATACATTACATAAATTGCCTTCTTTTACTAACAGTTCAATTACCGTTATCGTTGAATTCAGGCATCAGCTGTACAAACCGAAGAGTTGCTCGATAAACTAAGCGTCTCTTTGACAGGCGAGGAACTTGACATAATCGAAAAGCTTTATCGCCAAGCAATGAAACTTGAAATAGAGTTCTTCTCTGCTCAGCCCCTTGTTCAGCCAACTGTAGTTCCTCTGATCAAAGAGCATAACCCTGCAGAAGATCGGCTCGTGATATTTTCTGATTTTGACTTGACTTGTACAATTGTTGATTCATCTGCCATTTTGGCTGAAATTGCAATAGTAACAGCACCAAAATCTGATAAAAAATCTGATCAACATCAACCTGAAAATCAGATTGCTCGGATGTCATCAGCTGATCTCAGGAATACATGGGGTCTTCTTTCCAGGCAGTACACAGAAGAGTATGAGCAATGCATAGAAAGCATCGTTCCCACTGAAAAAGGTATAGTAACAATTACTGTAGTCTTGTTTGCTATTCATGAATGTTCAACTTTATGTTTGAAGGCGTGAAAAATTGTTACAGTAGCACTTTTGTAAAGGTTACTTGCTCAGGTGTGACCATTTGCCTTTCTGTGGTTTTGCAGCGGTGTTTGACTTTGAAAAGTTGCATAAAGCACTAGAGAAACTTTCAGATTTTGAGAGGAAGGCAAACAATAGAGTTACAAAGTCAGGAGTGCTCAAGGGTCTTAATCTTGAAGATATAAAAAGAGCTGGTGAACGTCTCATTCTTCAAGATGGTTGTATTAATTTCTTCCAGAAAATTGTCAAGAGTGAAAACTTGAATACAAATGTTCATGTTCTTTCATACTGTTGGTGTGGTGATCTCATAAGGTCGGCCTTTTCATCAGGTATACTTTCCTTCTGAATTGTTACTTTATTTTTGAGTATGCATTACTCAAACCCAATTTACTCTTATTCTCTTGTTATGAGATAATAGATAGTTTTATTGTCTCGATCCCTATAGTATATCCTGATTGTTATGAACAAGCCGGGTTGTTTATTAAAGTATGATTCTTTGTGCCTCTGCAGAAATTGACTTGAACTTGATCCTAAGAGAATCTTATGTTTCAATGTATTGCGTCTTTTCTAGGCACAGTTTGAACAAAAATATTTTCATAAGACACCTTGAAGTTGGTATACCTAGATTTAGAGAAAATTCTGGAACATATGAGTTATGGGAATTTATTGGATATAGATTTTGCCATTGTTCAGAATCTTTAGAATGTGACCTCTGGTGGACATATAAGATTTCCGGTGTTGACATTTGAAGTGCATATTATATCACCCTTAGCAACTTTATAGACATGCCTGTCATTCTTGTTTATGTGTTGTTTGGAGCAGGTGGTTTACCCGAGCTGGATGTGCATGCAAATGAGTTTACTTTTAAGGAATCCATATCCACAGGTGACATTGTTAAGAAGGTGGAGTCTCCTATTAACAAGGTTCAATCTTTCAAAGAAATATTGAAAAATTGCAGCAATGACAGAAAGAACTTGACCGTTTACATTGGAGACTCAGTGGGTGATTTACTCTGTCTGCTGGAGGCAGATATTGGTATCGTAATTGGGTCAAGTTCAAGCCTTAGGAGAGTGGCGACTCAGTTTGGGGTATCTTTTGTTCCTTTGTTCGCGGGTTTAGTTAAGAAACAGAAAGAATGCACAGATGGAAGGTCTTCTAATTGGAAAGGGTTAACCGGTATTCTTTACACAGTGAATAGTTGGGCGGAAATACATGCCTTCATTTTGGGTTGTTAGAATTCATTTTCTTCTTTCCGGTTCTTATGCACTCAAACAGCGTGCTTGGACAAACGAATCATATTCATATATAGTGGAACACAGATTAAAGTTGGTGTCTTGTCAAAAAAAAAAAAACAAAGATAAAAAGTTCGTGGCTGATTTTATAAGGGCCACAGATTTGCTGCTGTCTTGCTGTTCTCTTCTTTTCTTTTTGTAAACAGGGGGATCTCTTTTGGAAATGTGATGATGGCCAATTGGGGTGCTGTAAACAGGGTACGGGCACTTCTCCTCCGCTTCTTTCATCTTTTTCCTCGGGTCTTTCACATTCGGGATTATTGTAACCGCGTTTTCTTATCAGTTTCTTGAAATCCTCTTTTTCTTTTCAGGTATGGAGAGTTCTCAGGCAGCAATGAATTCAAACAGAGATTGTTATATCATCATTTGTCCATATAAACATTTCAAGTTCTGTATCTGTAATTTTGTTAGCCGATTGCTATTCGATATTTCTGATGAATGGCAATTTCAGAGTGTATTTCCGGTCATGTAATACTTGCGTCCTACTATAAATGCAGATGCAATTGTTCATGTCAGCTTGTTGGATCTATTCGTTGTTTTGGTTGGGTCCCCATATTTTCTCATAATCCACTGTTTGAACTGCATGTTTTGCCTGCTTGCTTGCATCACACTCTTAGAAAGAATGTAAAGAAATTTATACATTGCTTCAAATTGGAAATATCCATGATATGTATTATTGGATTTAGAATCTTAAGTTGAAAATATTTCTGTTAAACATTTTTGCTCGCAAACGCTTAAATTGGAAAAGTTTCTATTATATATTATGATGAAATTTTTATTAAAAATTTAGTTGTTCTTTGAAACAGGTGATTCTTCTAAAAAGCTTGTCTATATGCCTTTTTAATTTAGAGAAACACTTTTGCCAAATGTTATTGGAAGCGCTTATAGTTATTTAAAGTAGATCTAAGATATGCAATATTAAATTTAGAACCTGAGGGTCCTAAATTTAAAACTTGATGGTCCTAAATTTAAAACTGATGGTCCGTTTAAAAATGTTTCTCTAGATAATAATTATTATGATAAACGCTTTACAGAATTACGTGTTTTTGTAATTCTAAACCAGTGCTTGTTTTAAAAAGACTTTTATGTACAAACTAGTCATACGGTTTAATAGTATTTTTCTTCACTTGTAAGTGAGATAACTTAAGTTGACTCAGATGAATAAATGATGAACATCGTTATATACCAAATATAAAAAAAAAATCCTTTTTTCTGTCAAACTAGTCGAAAGCACTTATAGTTGTCTACAAGAACTTTCAAAAAAAGCTCTTAGACGGCCACGTGATTCTTGTGTTTCGACAAGTGGAGTCATAACAAGTCCAACATCAATGTCAAAGCAATTGGAGGGGATGAAATATGAAACAAAAACTCCCTAATAATTATCTAGTGTATAGTGCATAACGTATAAAATGGCATACAACAAAAGTATGGCAAACAAATGGATAAATAAGTGAAGTAAAGACAGGTTGACCACTACATCTTATCATTTGTGTATGTTTTGAACTAATAAAACAAGGATGATAATTGATTCCATGTAAGGAAGGCTTAGACAGTTGATTAATAGTAGTGTGTTCGTCTTTATATCTGATCTTTTTATTTATTTATTTATTTTTTTATGAATGATAAGATACGACAAGTTACAATGATACCTAACAGTGAATCATAATTTAGTATTTGAACCCAAGGACGGAGCTAGTTATTATGTTATAGGCTCTCATCTCATGGCCAATAACCTAGTGCAATTTTAGGGAAAAAAAAATAGAATTTACAATTAATATGTAGCATAAATTTATGAAATACAAAATTTTTGCCCTACCCTAAATATAATGTACACTCCATGCTCCAACAAAGAGAATATATTAACACACACCTATATAGTTTCTAACTCCGTCTTGGATTTAACTCAATACAAACATATATCGTTCTCATATCCATACGAGTTAATTCTGAAGCCTCTTCTACTGAAGTGAAAATTGGACACTGTTAGACCACAGTTGTGTGCTCGAGCTCATTCCCCAACACATGGGTAGTAAAAAAACTTCTATTTTCTTTGGTCACATTAGAGTTTTCAAATCTAAATCTAACATACTCTTACCCTTTATTCTATACTCCCTCTCACTACTGAGCTATCCCTAATAGAAATTTCCTCTTTTCTTTTAACTAACAATTCCTACTTTTTATCACACATAGAGCATCTTCAATGGATTCTCTAAATGAGCTAGCTCACCAAAATATTAGGAGAAGTTGAAAATTTTCTTGAATCACACTTCCTATCATACTCCTACGATATCAAAACTTCTAGGAGCTCCTAATCTAGGGATTGAGAAAGGAGCTCCTAGCATTAATTATTACAAAATTAATTTTAAATAAAAATTTTAATCCTATTGGTTCACAATTATTATGACTCCTTAAATTAGAAAGTATGATTGGGGTTGAAATTTTACAAGGAGCTCTTAAAGTAACTTTTCATTTAAAATTTCACTCGAGACTACAGAGCATGATTAGAAATGCTTGTGGTTGTGCATTAAATTTAAAAGAATTTGGCTTCCTAGAAATTCAATTTTCTTTCCTTTTTCTTTTTTAATGGTGCCAAGGTAGAAAATTTTGTTTGGAGGAAATCGTGATATATGGTGGGGTAGTTTGCCCAGTTGTACGAGATTATTGTTTAAAAACTGTTTAGGATTAAACCATCATCGTCACAGTTAATGATGTGCTTCGTTCTGAAGATTTCATAAAATCATTAAGTTGAATTTCTTTTCTTTTTTAAAGCAAACTTTCGAGTTGGGTTGTAGCTTTTAGGTTCTGAATTCTGATGCTCTTAACCTCCGTGTGTTTCGACATGTTCCGAAATCCGATTGGTTCGTGAGTTTTTTTCAGTTGCATCTGTAAAGCTGATTAGATTAGCATTTCGTCTGGAAACCAGATCCCCTCCAGATTCAAAGGAATTGAGTTCAAGGATCAAATGATTCAGATCATTGAAATTTAATACAACGGTTACAATTATTATAATTTTTAGAGGATCACTGTTTGTAGCTATTGAATCAAATTTTAATGGCCCGAATCGTTTGAGAAGTAGGTTCAATTTCTTTAAATTCACAGGGGATCCGGTTCCTTTGGTCCGACCCAAAATTAGGTTTTAATTAATAAAAAGTCCCCCACTTTACTTGAAACATCCATCAATCAATCTGAACAAGTCCAACAGACGTGCCCTTGACTTTGTTAATTCTTGTCCTTAATCCTTGTTAATTATTCAAACCCCATGTTTACAGTAAACCCTACCCACTTACGAGTCCTTACAAATTAATGGTATCTATCTCCATTAACAAAAGATATAGAATACGTAGAGTTAACAGAAGATTTGACGGAAAATTAAGCATAGTAATTTTTTAGGATTTATGAAGTTGATCCCATTTAATGAAATAAGACTTTGTTGTTATTGTTGTATCTCCATTAATACGGATGGAGGATAATAAGTCCTCGCGGCTAGTTCAAGTGGTGAGAAAAGTTGAACCGGAAAGTAATGAGAAAAATCGAAATAATGAGTTAGGATTAAGGTTTAAGATTCAATTTCTTCAAAATGTGATCAAACAAAGGAGGATGAAAGTGTATATGCATGATGAATTAGATTATTATTTAATTATTAACTAAAGAAACAAGGTTGATTATATTTTATGCGACCTTAAGCAATACTAAAAGTTTATACCATGCCTACCTTGGAATAATGATTCTAAATTATTATGACAAGACAGATATAAAAGAATGAGTCGATGATGTGATTCTTTGTCATACATGATAATAGGACATAAGCATCCCTATGTTTCTTTCATAGACTCATAGTACATCATGAAAATGACGAATTTAACCTAATGACAAGGATTTAAAGAAAATTTGTTAAAATTATCAAAAATCAAATCTTGAACTAATCAAAATTAAAAATTGACGCCGTCAAAAATTGAGGACATAGCGACAAATATAAACAATGTACTAAAAGACTGATCCTTTCAACAATTGAAATTGAAGAATTGAAGACCATTGACACAAGTCACAATACTTACTCCATTTAATCTAATAAAGGTTTTAAAATAAAAATTTATAAGTTCTTTGAAATTGAAGTTCTTTTTCTTTTTAATAGAACACCCACCATTTACGAGTCTAAAGATTAATTGATAAGCAAGAGAAAACATCCGCATGCCGGACCCCGATTCTATCACTGGAAGACGCTCGAGGATGGCTCGCACAGTCAAAGAAAGAAAACTACAAGAACCTCTAGAACAATTACATAAGCAACCAAGCTAATGCTGCCAATTCTTATATAGAATGTCTCAATTAGATGCAATAACCGAGAACTATCTAGTGTTATTGTTATTAAAACCCTAGTGATTGACTTAATTAGAGGCCAGCTTAGGTTGTCCAACGGGTAGGTTTTGGCCAACTAAAGCTCAAAAATGAATATTGTTTTTGTTTTTATTAATGTTTGGTACGTGGATCCAAACTGGATAGGTCACCTCAGATTCCAACTTTAAATTATAAGGGAGGGTGTGCTTCTTTACTTGATGGATATTCCTATTATCCATAGACACATCGAGGACATGTGAAGTAGGTCCTCCCCGTGTACGTACGTGGCCTAAATTATATCATTTTCACACCTTTGTTTCATCCGTCTCATTATATAAGCATGACCAACCACGCCAAATTGTATGGCTTCACCCTCTCTCTCTCTCTCTCTACACCTTAATTCTAATTTCTACCTAAGTGACCAGTTTCTGAAGGATTTCATAGGATCAGTCTCTGTCGTCGTTCAATTTCTTTCTTTTGGTGTCACTGAATTTGTACAAGGAAAGATGGCGATGGTGCTTCAAAAGCTGAGAAGAATGTCATCAAGAGGAGATTATCAGTCTTCGATGTCGAAAAGTTGCGGGCCGGAGGAGGATGAGGAAGAGGAGGACGGTGAGAGGAGGATTTAGGGTTTTCATCATCTTTCAGCCATGACCTAATTTACAGCTGTAAAGAAAGGTGATGAACTTAAGGAAATGTAAACTCAGGCAAGTCTGATATTCTTGGCTTATCATATATGATATATATAAAATAGTTACTTATATCATCCTTAATATTCCCTGACCTCTTTCTTTCCTTTCTTTTCACCGGATGAATGACCTTTTCTCCTGATTCTCGGCTTGGTTGCCAAGAAATTAATTTATGGAGGAATTGCTGAAATAAATTATGGCAATCTGTTAGCTCCTGTAGCAGGTTGAACCGCAAATAGATATAATTTTGTGGTTTCTTTTGTTTTTCTCTGATCTTTATGCATGTACTAAAAGATTTGCTTCTATTTTACATGAGAGTAAGATTTTTTTTCTTATTGATTAATGAATCATTGACTACTTGACACCTCACAATTGCCAAATTCTCAAATTTATTAATATATATATATCTGAAATCTCCACATCCAGATTTTTATACAACATTCGAGCATTTCTGAGAACGAACTATGCGCGTGTGTACGTCTTTAAAAGGATCAAGGATCTTGATTAGTTTTGTATCACTAGATAACGTGAAGGAAAATTGAACCAGAAGATAATGTAGTAAGCACTTTCTAGTTTGTGACTAAAATATGTGACCCCGACCATTGTTCCCCGGCACATGCCTAGCTAGGGCATAAGAATAAAGAAGATTTGAGATCTCTCAAAAAGTGAAGGGTGGGGAATAGCAGACATGATAAAATGTTGACGAAGTATAACTGGTATATATGGCAGGGCAAGCTCCAAATAGTTGGGAAAATAAAAAGAAGAAAACACCTTGGATGATGTATTGAACTCCTCCTTAGTATATAACACGCAAAGTGGACTACTGCAAATGCGATGGTACCGGTATATCTAGGCATTCTATGTTTGGGTAACATAAAATGTGTCCTAACATGGAATGCCAGTCAATATGCAAAATATCTACATTTTCTAGAAATTTGGAAAATGCTGCATGCGTTTACTCTAGGCGAGTGCTTTCTTTACATCAATAATAAAACGCCACGTAATTTTGTTAACGGTATTTGCGTATGTATAGTGCATTGATGATATAGTAAACTATTATCTTATACTTTCTTTAAAAGTAAGTACGCACAGTGATTTCAAAAACTTAATTTCCATCTAGCGTAGAATTATAACGCGAATTCGTATCACGCTAAACAAAATCTAGTATGGATTCGTAGACCCTTTACCAATACAAACTTAGAATTGTTGAAGAATCCTAAAAGAAAATGAGGAAAATAAAAGGATTGATTGGAGGATAGGGATTTCTTTCCCAATGATGCAATAGCAAAGAAGCAATTTGAGGGTGAAGGCTAATATACGGTTTTGGGAATCAGGTGGTTTTAGGGCATGTGGGGTCGCTGAGTGCCTTATGGGTCCCTTGAATACACATAGCTAGCTACCCGTTTTTATTTGAGGCATAGTAATGCCATGGCTAAATGATTGTGTGTTAGGTTATTTCTTTCTCATTGTATAAATGAGAGGTCTCCTCCCCAGCCACACCTCCTATTTCGTTGCCATGTTTGTAAACGCTTCCTCGCTCGCTTTCCCTCTTTCCTAGTTCATATCTATCCCTGTTTCTTTAGCTATATATGTTTGAAAGCGAGCCAGAAATACAACTGTGACGGTACACAAAAATGATAAAACAATATAAAATGTTCTCTACATTAAACACTTATCTACATGAAAAAAAAAAAGGACATTGAATGAGATCCACTCCGGATCTCTATGTTCGTTGTCGGGGATCGAGAGATTCGGATTGTTCAAGAGAAAGAGAAAGAGATCTAACTGTTCAATTTTTTTGAGTTTTTATGATGGAAGTCAGTGTGATGATCTAATGGGGATCGTAGAAATTTAAATTGAGTGGTCCAAATTTCTCAATTTACATGCTCTGAACAAAGAGATCTGAAGTGGATCTCAATCCCTTTAAGTTTAACCTTCATGGGAAAGATGGAATCTTTTGGTACTCCAATATCTTTCACATAGTAAAAGCCATAACATAGGGTGGGGGTGGGGTGGGGGTGGGATGTGGGGGGATCTGAATTTGTAGCTTTTTCTGCATCTTTTTTTCATGTTAATATTTATAGTACATGCTTATCCACTAATACATACACTTTGGATAAGGACGACGAGGGATCACTACTAAAGTCTAAACCCTCCATCATATTTCCTCTTCATTTTTTCCTTTTCATTATTTAAATGTTGAGTTAGTCACCATGTGTGTCACCTAGTGCCAAATGACATGCAACTACAAAGGAAAAAGAAGAATAAAAAGACAAATCCAATTTGATTTTTCTATTGGTCCGTGACTCATCATAGACTTAGTGATAAAGCTAAAAAAAAAATGAAATAAATGACCGTTCATTTTTCACTGAGAGCAAATTTTCTGTACTTATTTTGAGTGTGACATTTACGTTGTCTTTATTATTGATTAATACATGTTAGGTTTATAACAACAAAGTTATTAAGTTTATTAAGACATGTCAATTGATAATAAAAGCACAAAGCTGCCACATACAAAATAAATACAAAATATTTGAACTCTTTTAACCTGATTGAGATACAGAATCCCATGAGCAAATCAGAGAAGACAGACCAACTTCTAGCACCAAATCAAAACTCTTGTTGTAGCTTTGACTTGGCATCTCCTTTTTTTCCCTTCAAAGTGGCAAAACAATGATGAACCATTATGCATAAAAATATTGCATCTTGGTGAACAATCACATTGTTTGGGGAGTCCGTACAACTTCAGGGTTTATTAAATTCAGCGAGATGGATTGGTTCAAAGAGATTTTTGAATCCAAACGTATGGATTGATTGAATTCAAAAAGTGTGTTTCCATCAGTAGAGGGGCCGGCGACGGCTAATGGTGGGAGACTATTTTTAATTATTAATTTCCTTAACTGTTAAAGCATAGTGAACACCTCCACGTTTTTACGTTAAGATGATTCCACCTCTGCAATTCCATATGAGAGAGAGACTAGTAGGATAATCTGATCAAGAGTTGATAAGGCCACTCTCTCAAAGAACCAAGCTCCTCTATGTTTAAGTACACTACATGGCTCCACGTACGTACACTCCGCTAAGCACAAGATCGGTTTGGGGTTACTTAAATTTTTTTTTAAAGCAACTTGTTAAGGAAGTTGTTTGGTAAATGAGAAAATAAATACTTTTTTTTCAAAATCATCGGTCCAAAACAACAGAAAGCAAAAGCAACTCTATACATGCTTCTCAAACAAACTTTTTTTTTCTTTCATTGGAGTAGATGAACAATACCAACTAATTAAACCTTCATATTAACAATCATATCCTCATCTTCTGTTTTTGTTTCACAAAAGCACTTTAAGCATTATAGTTACCAAACACTTACCTACTTTTTTTCACATCTGTTTATTCTCACAGCACTATGGAAGCAGTTTAAAAAAAACACAGCAATCCTAAACTAGCCCTAAAGCTTTTCTCAAAAGCAATTCAATGTAGGTCGTAAATACAAGCCCTACTAAAGCTTTTCTCCAATTCAATTCAATTATAGACCACGTTAATTCAGACATCTTTTTTTTTTAGTACATCGATATTTTTACACTAAGGGAATGGGAAGTTTGGTAAAACCACATGACGGACAACCTAATTTGGTATCGAATTCGTCATCCACAAGATTCGAACCTAAAACATCTCACTTCTAAATGAAAAGAAATCTCACCAGACCGTAGTACTGAGTAGCTTAATTCAACCATCTTATAACACATTATTTACTTATTTTTATATTATATTTTAAATTCATAGTGTACGTACCTCATCGTCTGCTCGTATCAGCTACCCTTATTAAATTTTATCCACTGATTTTCTTTAGTTCATTTGATTGTAAGGGTGTGTAAGAGGTAAAAATGAGGCTCATTTTGAATGATTCAAATAGTAGCTAGGTGAATGTAACAAAATTTCTTGCATGGAAAGCAAAAGAAAATTCTTAAATCAACATACTTTCTGCAATACTTTACAAGCTAATCGTAAGGAGTTCCATGTGAAACAGGTTACAATAGAAGGAATCAAACACTGGTTACAGTTACATGTTTACACAAACTCGGTTTGCTCGCCGGTCAACAAAACAAACACAAGCTCCTACTTCTCGTAGCATCTCGGTCTTCGAAGCCTCTCAAAAACGACCTAGTTGCAAGGTGCTCTGAAGCATATGTCATGAAAGATGCCAAAACTAAGCCTCCGACGACCATCAAACCCAGCCTGTTAAATGTCGTAGTAATACATATTGTCATTCATCGTTCTCTTTGAATCGTATTCTTTTCAAAGATGAATAAGTAACCCAGGAAACTATAACTGGTCAAGCAAATTACCGTAAAAATAGAGCTGTTATCCCGAAAAGACATGGCAAAGATGGCGCAGCAACGGCCAGAAAAGCCATTCCTAGCCCATAATAGAATGTAGCATTATCGCATAAAGATGCTTGCCGTTGATGACCTACAACAAATACAATAACCGTTGTTTGAGTTAGAAAACAAATAAACAATCAAACAAGGAACTAATTAGCTGAACTTGGTTGTGAATGTCGGCACCAGATTAATCCATGCCAACTTACCTTTTCCAGAGTCATAATCAACTGATTCAGGACCAGAAGGCGAAGTTCCTGCTTGCACTGCTGTTGTCTTTCCCCACTGATAAATTAGATGCAGATACCCTCCAAATAATATAAAGAAGACTGTGAATGTCCACTCGTACATCAATAGCAAACCAGTCCACGGCATAACTTGTCGAGGCACAATTGCAAGAGAAAGGGCAAGGGCCACCAGGGCAGCCATGAAACAGACAACAATAGAGATCCCACCCAAGTACACCGGCACCTTGGTCTGCAACACATTAAGGATTGTTTCACAGCACAAGTCTTTACGGTAAATTTGGAATGTAAAGAAGAATTTATCTTATAATGAGCTTGAATGTCAAAGCAAATTGGGCCAATCCAACAAACAAAATTGAGACAAAGGATCTAACCTGATGATTGGGATTGATGGAGGATGACGTAGAAACAACAGTATAATTAAGCGTCCCCATAGATCTGATTTTGTAGTAAATGTGTTTGATTTGATCATACAACGAATTTCTACACAATGAGCCAAAGTAATCCTTTGTCTGCACCAAAATTGACACACCTTGATATCCAGAAAACAAAATTTAGGCCAAATTGATCATGTAATTACTAACCTGAACACAAGACCGATAGTAACAAAATAGTAGAGCACAAAATGGTAGCAGGAAAAGAAACTTCACAAGAAAAGCATCATTTGGATTTCCGCCACCTCCAGTTCCTGGAAGGGTTTCCCTAAGCTGTACCCTAACATTCTGCAGTATAAATGACAGTCATTGTTTACAACCTCTTTGAATGCAAAAGTTACAGTATAATATTAAAATGGAAAATCAGACAACCACAGAGATAAATAGAAAATTGAATTCAAAGCAATACCTGCCAGACATCAACCGGTTTCAAAAGCCAAGAAGTCCACCAATCCCAAGGTTTGAGGGGGCCCAGTGTATAGTGAATGACATGGAGTTCACTTTCATCTACCATCCACTGAGATTATAAAGCACAAACAGATTAGACACCTTAATTGGCATAAAAAATAGAAATCAAAGGTCCACTCCAATTTGGCCACTTCATATGTGTCATCACCTTATTGCTCGAAAGGACAAACTAAAGAAAATTCTAATCTAAAATATAGATATAAGACAACGTTACTGGTCAAATTTGGAGTTCCCTCTTCAACTATATATATGGGTCGGAAAGTAGCACCACAGAACCTGTGATATTCTTGGCAATATGGGTCGGAAAGTAGCACCACAGAACCTGTGATATTCTTGGCAGTTTTTTTATCCAATTAGCTTCACATGCACCACTTAAAGAGTTGCTTTTATTTTATCTTTAGATTCTCGTATAAAGGTTGTACTTGGGTTCCACCCCTGAGGCTTCAGTATTGAAAATCCAATAACATCTCCAATGCCAAAACTTAATCCTAACGAGTATACAATAGAAATATTATCTCCTTCTATAGTACTTTACATTTGGGAGTAATTGTACAGGCATCAATATCATGCATGGTAGTGGAGACATGCAAACTAGTCGATCAGCATTACTATAACATGTTGAATAGCTACTGATACATACCTTGTTTGCCAGCATATAAAGACCAACATCTGCATTGTATAAAGTGGAAAGTCGCTCCATTTTAGGAACTGGTCTAGACTTTCGCACCTCTTGCGATAAATTTGGCTCAAAGACATGGGCGTTTGGAAAATCAGAATAATATGAATTCAGAAACCCCTGATCTCCTGTAATAAATAATGAGGCACATAAAAGTTTAGAGAGAAGGACGACTATAATGGATTAGAGCTTTCTCCAAAGAATACCTAATGACTGAGAAACATGTAATACACATTATAACAATCAACTTGACACTAAGCATGCACTTGAGTATTTAACCAGGGATATCAAGGAACTCGTGATACCACGGAATTCCTTTTGACAAAGTGACATGTATATCAGAAATTATTTGAGCCATTGACATAAACAGTGCAATCTAATTTAATCTGAAATCAGTTTCTACAAAACCATATAAATAAAGTTGAACTAAATTCCTTTTCCTAAACATAAACTTGACTTGAAAGCTCGGACTTTTTTCTCACTTTGAGTTTGACAATTCATTTACACTCTGTTCAACAGTACAGATCAATTTTATATACCATATACAGATGGAGAAAGAATTATACTGAAAGAACTAGCAGGTATTGCAAAGTGATTAAAATTACATGAAGAGTTACGTTACCTCCAGTGTAAGAAGGCAAAGTGGTCACTTGTCTCATCATGTCATTAAAAAGAGTTTCCGATGGTTCCACTACCATCACCCCAGAGTTCAGCCTCTCAGAATGCTTCAAGTTAGCACAGAATTTACTGCATTTGAAAAGATCCTCAATGCTCTTGACAACAATAGTATCCGCATCAAGATACACAACTACATAATCAAACTCCCGGAGATAAGAAACACACAAAAAATAGTAAAACTTCAAATTCTTAAAACTAAAAATATTGCATCCTTGATTTGTTATATCACATGAGAGCTATGATATCAAAGATTTTACCTTTCTTGTAGTTTGTCATGTTAAAAATTTTGAGCTTTGTGTAGACACCCCAGAACCTCGTCGGTCGAACTTGATTAGGATTTGCCAATAAACTAATCTTCTCCACTATCCATCCATCAGCCTGCACAATCATTCACCAAAACTAATCAAATAAAAAATCTGATTCAGGGGTTGTTTTTCGAAGCTCAGACTTCAGTCAAACAAATAACCAATTCAGGATAAAGCACCAAACTTCAGCTTTTTCCCAAATCACTTTTCGATTCAGTTAATCCGTATTCATTTAAATCCAACTTCACAAAAACCAAAACTCGAACTCGATTTAGGAAAAAGCAGCTTTTTTTCTAAAAACACTTCTCTAAAAGCAAAGTCTATCAACTCAACTAAAAGCCTAAACTCAAATCAATTTCCTTAATTAGAAACAGGAACAAATATTAATTACCCGGAGAAGCTTCATGGCGTAATTGGAGACGCCATCAGAGACCAGAGCCACCATGTCCTTGGTCGATCCAGTGTCCCGTATCGATTTCCCGAGGACTCGAACGCCCAATAGGAACTCATCTCCGTACAGCAGCGTGACGTAAGCCTCCGGCGAAGTCTGGCGCCGGGAAGACGACGAGGACGAATCAAACGCGGCGTTTTGTTGAATCGCGGCGGCGGCGAGCACAAGCGCCGTGAGCACAAACCACGCCTTGAGTCTCATTATATTGACCCTTTGAATTTGGTTTGATTTTGCTTTTTCTCGAGAAAATTGGGGATTTTCTCGAGAAAATCAAAGAGTTTGGGATTGGGAGGGTTTTTCGTTCGAATTTGGGCTTGATTTCATTTTTTCATGGGGGCGCGTGTTCTGTGTTGTGTTTGTCGTCGCTGACCTGGCTCAGATGGTCTAACCAGTTTCAAAGTATAACAAAAAGATATCCATGGATCCGCTTTAGGTCTACGATACCATTTTGAAAATTTTAGATTTGATTTTCGTAAATTTTAATTGGGAAGTATTATTGACATTCTAAAAATTTCATTATACATTCCTTACAAGTGTATTTTTCTTTCCTAATATAGAAAATTTAGAGTGTAAAATGAGATTTTTAGAATGCTAATAACAATTCCCTTTTAATTTTTTAGTTTCATACATAAACATTGACGATAGTTTAAAAACTGCATACACATCACTTGATTTTAAAATTTAGTAGTATTTATTTTTATTTTATGAGTGACAAGTTTTTATTCCGATTTAAAATTATTGAATGATTGTTTAGTGTTGTAAGAAAAATAATGTGTTGGCTCTAGTAAATGAATAAATTAGCAGACTTGGAAAAGTTGTGTTAGCTTCAACATAATGAACTAACCAGCTTTGGGGTGGGAACTGGTTTTCGTGTGATCTTATCTGAGATCACTTGTAAGGGAGGTATATTTGAATATAAAGTCTCTCACATAGAAGGTAATACCAAAATAATATATCTACATGTGGGAGGTTCATTGGTAGCATCACTGACTTCTTTTGTGTTAAAAACATCACACTTAGTAATAGGTGATCAAGTGAAGACAATATAGGTGATTGTCGTGGAAAGCCAGATGATGTTGGTTGTGGAGACACTTATTTACCGTATGAAGATGGCATATGTAATTGTGTGATGAACAGAGTGGGACAAATTTGTAGTGTTTCTTTGAAACATGAATTATTTCATATATGAACATGAAAATAAAGCAACAATCAATTTATGGAGTTTTATATAGGTGATCCAAGGAATTTCATAATCTTTGAAGTTATAAAATCGAGTGGTGTTATACTTACCTTATTGTGTGACAGCCCGTCCCGGATTATTCGTGCTGCAAGTGTGAAATGACGGTTTTGCCCCTAGTGGTTATGTTTCGTTGTGTGGTTGTTTTGGGGTTTTGGTTGGCTGCATTTGGGCCACACACATACCCACTCTCATCCTCACCTTCTTCCCTATCTCGTGCCTCTCTCTTCTTCTTCTTCTTCTTCGTACGGACAAAAACCAAAGCACTCGAAAACGTTACAGATTGAAGTAGAAAACTATATCTTGGTGTTCGTGAGGTTCATACGAGTTTAACCATACCCATTTTAGGTAAAAAATCCTTCGATTTCATGTCGAACCATGGAACCCCGATTTTGGTCACTGTTCATGCATATGTAAAATGTTGTTTTTCAGGGAATTTGAAGCTTGTAGGAAGCTTAGTGAGGTCCTTAGGAAGCTCGGGGTGGTTTGTTGGAAGGTTTTGGATGTCGGGATCATGAGTTGCAGGTTTGGCTGGATTTTGTGAAGTTTCTTCGACGAGATTCCGTGAATTTCAGGGCTTGAAAGTGGTAAGGTTTTGTTCTACTTGTTGTAAGTTTCATTTTGGTGCAAATTTCATGAAATTTGGTTGAAAATCAAGTGAGAAACAAAGGTTTGAAAATTTCCCGTTTTTCCGCGCGACAGCGACGGCACCGGAGGTGTGCCAAAGAAGATGACGGAATATTCCGTCAGTTTGGATGGAATATTCCTAACGGCGTTAGGTTAACTTTAATGGAATCTGTTAGTTTTAACGGAATATACCTGACGGCGTTAAATGGCGCCGTCAGCGTGCTTGGGACGTGGCGGCGCATGGCCGGCACGTGGCGGCGCATGGCCGGCACGTGGCGGCGCGTGGGAGGTCAGAAAATTATTTTAAAAGTATGGGGATGTTCGTGAGGTTGAGTAGATCACGTTGGTGTATTCATACACCCCATTTGAGCATTGTATGAGAAGTTGTTACCTAGTTTTGGCTATGTGCTTTAAATTGACGTTTTTATAGTTGTTTCGCATATAGGTGAGACCTATCCCGAGGACGAGCACAGTCACTCGAGGTAAAAGGGTTACGACCCTTCCACATACCAGTGAGTGGGCTTTTGGTTTTCCGTATATACCTATATACTGTGGTTTTTCCCATAAAATGAAATGAAATGTGTATATGTTTTAAATGCCATGCATAATGTTTGCCAATCTAGTTATGCATTAGTAGTTGCATATATGTATGTTTGGTGCTGCGGATGCACAGGTAAGTACCAGGTAAGTTATGGTTTATTAATTTAATTAGTAGTTGTGAGATGCATAGAGAGCTCATAACCTGCACCCCCAGTGTTAGTGCTCCCGCCCAGAGTAAGGCACAGTCATTCACTTGATGTTCACCTCCTGCACCACACGCTCATCTTGGATCCAAGTTAGGTGCACAGTCTTGTCGTACATATCACTATAGGTGGTTTCAACTCGTAGGTGACCCGCGATTATTCGCCCAGTCTTCACGTGATCGTAGCACTTGAGCGTATTCATTTACACCCAGTCATGTCGTACAAACCACTTTGGGTGGTTCCGACTCGTGTGCAGGTATAGTTAGTGAGTTGGAGATTTGAGCTCTAGATTCAGCCGTACAGGTCACGTTAGGTGACTCCGGCTGACATATTTCATTGCATTGATTGGCATTACTTGGTTTACTTACATCTTATGTGGAGGCATTCGACATGGCATATTTTTTTGAGCATGTTTTGTATATATGTGTATATTCTATTTTTCTGGAAAACTATACAGGTTTTACAACGAGGGGTTAGAACTTTGATAATGAAATGATTTTGAAAAGCTTTGTTTTTGCCCACTCACACTTTCTGTTTTGCGCCCTTCCAGGTTCTAGTTTGGATTGCTCTGTTGGTGGCTCTCGAGGGATTCACGGCATATCTGACAGATTATCACCAGTGTAGGACCCCCTCTGGGTGTGTTTTAGTTGGTGTTTGTTCCTCTGGACTGCACCAGGTTTTTTTTGGTGCTCTGAATATTGTTTTCACCCTTACGCTCGCACATGTATGTTAACTACCCTGTGTGTAGTTTGGTTTTTATTTGTTTGTACTTTTATTATTATTCTTAGCTTCCGCACTGTGCACATGGTTACGCCGCCCTCACGTGACGGCCAACATACCCTGATTTCGGTTGGGGTGTGTCATATCGTCTTATCTTCTTATCCACCTTATATTTCCACCCTCAGTAAAAAGTGAAATAACACATAAACTATCTCTTCACCCACCAATATTCCCAAAACAACCCTACATATATAATTTTTTTGGTAGATTTAAAATAGTTATATAATTTTAAAACGCAATTATTATTAAGACCTTGGTTTAGTTACTCCGCAATGGAGGATGGGAGACATTTTTGCTGACGTGAATTTGTTCTCATCATCTCTTTACACCCTAGCCAAACTGTCATCGACATCCCCAAATCCTCAACCCAAGCGCACCACCACTACAAGAAATCGAATAATATGGGCATAAGTATTTGCCTCTAAAAACCCCCAATAGGGGTAAATATGTTGAAAAATTGCCCCTAATACAAAGGAGGGGCGGATATTAGATTCACCCCTAAAAGAGCCGTTGCTATTGTTATTAGATGCAAAAAATGTCAAATATCCGCCCTTAATGTTTTTGTTGCCATGTTGGTAGGTTTTATAAATACACATCATTACAGGCAAAAACATCTGCCCCTAATACCTTTTAATTATATAAACAAATAAATCGAGAATATAATTACATCCGATCCTAATACTTTAAATTATATAAAAATAAATAAATCCACAATATAATAAATGCATTATCCACCTAAACGTCAATTATTGGTTTTGAATCATTCAAAATATTCAAACCCAGCATGATTCATCTTCTTCTTTCTAGATCTCAAAATTCTCCATCTCTTTCAATCTCTCAAGCTTTGAAGATTAGATCTCTAAGTTCATCTTCTGATTTTGCAGCACCACACGAGTCTTTTTCAATTAACAACTGTTCATTAACAAATACAAAAAGAAAAAGTAAAACGTAACAAACAACAAAGCCAAATTACAAAGTCTACTAATTGTACGAACAAACAGAAAAAATCAATCCTAAATTTCAAAATCAATTAAACATATAAGAAAAATCAATAAACAAAGATTAACACAAGGCAATTACCCTTACAATGAAAATTCTTGAGAACCTCCTCCCTATCAATCATATGATAGTTCTATTCCAAACTATTCATGAAATTCTCTTCCACTCTAAATTATTCAAAACCCCCTCAAGTATACCTGCAAAACAAAAAATTCAGAATGGAAAAAAATGCTTCGATCAAACCAAATTAAACAAGATTTATCTTCTCTCTAACAAACCTTTCTTTCGGTCATCTTGGATAGCAAGGAAAAAAAAGACAACAAAAGATTATGAAGAATGAAAGAAAGAGAGGATGGGTTTAAATATGCAGGATGGGAAGAAAAATGAAGGAAAACGCGAAAAATGATGAACTGTGCGGCATTGGAAGAGGGAAGAGAGAAAAATGAGGGTAGTGGGTATGTATTGGAATTAGGGTTTAGATAAATAATGTTTTTTTTTTTTTGGTAAATTGTAATATCCTTCATTTTTATTTTTTATAAAAGCTAATTAGTAATTAAACACATCCGTCTTAAATACAAAAATTAAAAAATTAAATTAATAAGTACAAAAAAAAACATCCGCCTCTAATGAAAAAATAATTAAATTTAAACAATTATTAGTTGAATTAGGGGCTAATTGAATTCGTCTCTAATAGCTAAATTTAGTAAAGGCAGTTTTTTCTGCCCCTAAAAGTGAAAATTAATAGAGGCAGTTCATTGTTTGTCCCTATTATTTTAATAGAGACAATTGCATGTTTTTGCCCTAATGAATACTATTAGAGGCAAAATTTTATTTCTGCATCTAATATTACACCCCTTGTTAGAAGTTGATTGTGTTAGTTAGCTCTGTAGCTTGAATGGTAAGTCTCTAAAGCTCTATATAACAGACCAAGCTATGCAAATGTAATTCATTCAGTATTCATCAATACAAAAGATGATATTTCTCTCATATGTTCTGTCTCTAAGATTCTTTC